TTGCTAGGGACTTGCCCGGCACTTGCTCTCTACCTCTATTTGTTATCTTACTTCTATCATTGACAGTCCCTCTAGGTTGTGGGCTGCTTGCCTGTGTTCCTGAGAAGCATCTACGGTACCAGTCTATAGAGTGTGTTTTCTTTAGTGAATTACCGGTATGTTTACCGGTAATAAACTTGCACTGTTTTATGTATATGTTTGATTACATACAGCCTTGTGACAGTTTTCCTGCATGTCATAAGCATTTGAATATAAATTAAAATGTTAAAATCAAATCTGATATTGTTTTACCTTTTATTTGGTGTGTGGAAGGTGTGCGGAAGAGGGGGTAGTCTTATACGGCGAGTATATAACAAACTCTGTATTTTGAGTGGAAATGTTAGGGGGTCGTCTTATACGCCCAGTCATCTTATACGCCGGCAAATACGGTAATCATATCTTTATATGTACTAGTTAATGTTATATTGATTAGATATTTAAAGTTTTCTTTATTGAGCAAGAGAAGTATGTGTTTCTGGCCAGTGGTTTGTGGATCCCTTAATAATCATTTTTTAATGCAAAGAACCATGTAACTAAAATGTATAGTCTGATGGAGTGGCAGATCCCTGCCAAGGCTATTTGTAAAATTTCCATTGGCTTGGATGTCGTTCTCTTAGTCAAAAGTCTGAGTGGCATGCTGGAGAACATATAGCTAACTTTCTAATTCATTGCATTGAAATAGCATGGTCTATCAAATGAGATTTTTCTAAATTTAAGAGTTCGTTCATGCCATTGTAAAATTTTGCTCTTTTTCACCAATTTACTAAACTCTTGAGTAGTAGGTGATTAATCTTTGTTTCCGAAATATACCTCTTATTTATAGTAATGTGTCTTTTATGGGAAATGTAAAATCTTTAGAAGAGAAAATTAAGAAATCTTGACATGAAGTAATGTTTAGTCATTATTGCCTAAATCTGCAACCTGATTATTCTTTAAATTAAGTCTCTCAGTTTAAGGAAATATTTAAAAAATTCTCTCTTGTAACTTAAAGTGTTCTCAAATAGAATTTTAAATGTATTCTAAGGAAAAGGTAAATATTGCATGTTTTACAGTAAAAACGGAGAAGAAGACGGTACAATTTAGTGATGATGTTCAGGTAGAAACAATAGAGCCAGAGCCAGAGGAACAAGCCTTTATTGATGAAGTAAGTGATTTCCATATACCTCATTATTTTAAACTAGAGGCTCAGTGCACAAAAATTTGTGCACTCGGGCTGGATCCCTCAGCCCGGCCTGTGCCCTCTTGCAGTCTTGGACCCCTCAGGGGATGACCACCTGCTGGGTTAGGCCCGCTCCCAGGGGATTGGACCTAAGCTGGCAGTCAGACAGACATCTCTCTGGCAGCCCAGCAGCCCTCGGGGGATGTCCACTTGCCAGCGGAAAGCAGGCCTAACCTGCAGTCGGACATCCTTAGCGCTGCTGAGCAGGTGGGAAGCTTGGCTTCCTCCATCACCCGGGCAACCAAGCCTCCTGTTTGCTCCAGCTCTGTGGCTGCTGGCTGCCATCTTGGTTGGATTAATTTGCATATAGTTGCTCTGGTTGGCTGGTGGGCATAGCTTAGGGAATAGCAAAGGTATGGTCAGTTAGCATCTTTGTCTTTTATTAGTGTAGATTTCTGCTTAATGTTTTACAGAATGGATATATCATGATTTTTTAATTCTGTTTTTGGACAGTGAGTTTGTTTTTAGTTTTTTTCTGGTGTTTTTTTGCTATTACGAACACTTATGAGATTTTAAAAATATATTTCAAATAATGTGTAATTGTTTTATTTTAAAATGTTTGTACTTAATGCTCTGGAAATTATATTCTTGGTAACATTTTAAACTTATGATGAAAAATGAGAAGTTACCTTTAAAATATGTGAAGGAATTAATAAGTTTTTAGCCTTCTTTTAGGGGAGTCAGAGCAGAAAGTTTGAGGAGTGTTCTTTTACAGAAATAGATTGTAGAAGACTGCTAGGAGCCAAGGAATCCAACTGGATTAGGGAAAATTAATTAGCGGATTGCATTACATAAGAAATGCGTGTAGAGGTGAGGGATCTCTCTAGAAACCTTATTTCTCTGTTAGTAGGTAATTTCAGATAGAGTATAGTATTCTGTAAACACAGCAAAAATTATCCAGGTATTAGTGGCTCTCACTCTTACCAACTATAACCACCTCCCTCCACGCCCCCCTCCCCCCCTTTTTTTTTTTTTGCTGTAGGAAAACTTTACTGACATATGCCTTCTTTTTTGAACTGCTTGAAATGAAAGTTGAATCTTTTACAATGAAAAATAGTACCCATTTCAAAACATAAAATCCTTTTGCCTTCAGAGTTTTCTTATATGCTGTGTCACTTTTACTCTCTAGTAATTAATCCATCTCTCAAACTGTTCTTCTATATATAACACAGAGTTTTTGTTTAAATAATTGCTATGCTTTGAATTGGTCTTCTTTACATTATTTACCTAATGTACATATGTTTAATAGTATAACCCTGTAAAAACCATGCATGGGGAAAAGCTTGTAATTATTATAGTATTCATTGGTATGCTATGTAAGATTTATATTTTGTTTTTAAAAAATCTACATATAAATACATATGTACTTATATAATGTATAGAGGTACTAATGTAAAGATGGTTTCATTAGTCCCGTTGGTGATTAAAAGATTCTAAAATATGTGTAAGTCACTGCCTTGAGATGCTTTCCAGCCTTTCCCACGTAGAAGAATAGAGAGACCACAAACTGAAACATTGGTAGCAAGAAAATGTAGACGAAGTCTTGATGGCCCTACTTAGAAAGAGAACAGCTGTAATATAGCTGAGCTATGCCTTTCTAAAACAGCTGTTGTATTCACCCTGGGGGAGAAGTAATAACTGAGTTGTTAGTCATAAGTAATGCCATCGTGAGAGAGAGGTTACACCTGTCAGCATGTCAAGGCTAGGCTGCTTCAAAACAGAGTGAAATTCACTACCATGAAATTAGGTTGAAGAGCTCACATATTGTAAGTTTAAATGTGGCTCTATTCTCTTTAAGAGAATCATTGAGGACTAAAAAACAAGTAGGTAGAGCTTTCGAGGCTCTGACTTCACAGGGTACTTAAAGAGAGTACACAGATATTAACCACATAAAAACAAAATTGGAGTCTACATATCTGAATTACAAAAGTTCTTATCCATTATCTAATTAACAAAGTGCGAACATATTGTTTCGTAATGACTAGTTGCTTTTTATATTAACAATTTAATTCCTGTAGGACAAAATGGACCAGTTGCTACAGATGTTGCAAAGTACAGATCCCAGTGATGATCAGCCAGATCTTCCGGAGTTACTTCATCTTGAAGGTAAACCTCGTTTTTCATTTATCTTCCAAATAAAGGATAATTAGAGGTTATATCTACTGTTCTGTTACAGAATGGTTCATATTTAAATAAAATTGAGAATGATACAAAACATGTTTACATTCCACACTCTTCTGTGACTCAGTCTCACGTTTATATGCTATTTGAAACTTTGATAGAATTTACATTCTTTTTAAAATATATATATTTTTATTGATTTTTTACAGAGAGGAAGGGAGAGGGATAGAGAGCCAGGAACATCCATGAGAGAGAAACATCGATCAGCTGCCTCCTGCACACCCCCCACTGGGGATGTGCCTGCAACCAAGGCACATGCCCTTGACCAGAACCGAACCTGGGACCCTTCAGTCTGCAGGCTGATGCTCCATCCAGTGAGCCAAACCAGTCAGGGCAGAATTCACATTCTTATACATTTCTATAGAAATTAAATATATTATTTAAAATACTCAAATATTTTATTCAACATTTTAGAATAAAATTCTAAAGCAACATTTTTTTGCTACCAATGTTTCAGTTTGTGGTCTCTCTATTTTTCTACGTTGTAAAATAAATATTGGTATTTTAATATTTTTGAGATCAAGAAAATAAATCTTGGGGTCTCTTTATTAATATCATTTTTATTACTCCAAATTACATCTTGTATTTCTTATATGAATATTCATCAGAGATTTGCTTTCCTTTGTTGTGTTTTCTTATATTTCTTCAAATCTTCTCACCTTAGCAATGTGTCACCAGATGGGACCTCTTATTGATGAAAAACTGGAAGATATTGATAGGTAAAAGAGCATGTGCCCTCTATATTGTGTACCTTCTTCCCTGAAGTTCTCTGTAAACTACCTACTGGAATAGAGCTGCCATTATAATTTATTTTATTACTAGTTTATTTATTTATTTCTATCGTGTTATATTTTATATTTTAATTTTTTTATCTTATTTCATTTGAATTTTTCATTTTCAGTTTTTAATATTTTCTATTTTTATATGCCAAAGGAACCAGTCTGCATTTACTTGTTTTCTACTAAATGTGGGAATTTGAATTAGACCCAACTCTCTTTTTTTATTTTTGTTTAAGGTGAGGATTTATTTGACCTTCACTATATTAGCCTTTTTTAAAAATAAGGGTTAACTATTATAATCATGAGTGACATTACCAGAGCCCAAATGACCCATCTATTATAATCTCGAGAAACCTAGATATTTCAAAGTAAAGTCAACTACAATAAGTTCTCCCAGCACAGTACCTAAATCTGAGTTTTGATTGCCTTGGAGCTAAAATACAGGATATTTTCTGTCACAAGGTAAATTTTTAATAATGTCTATATCACTTTCTGCTATTTTGATATGCCTTATTATTTAGAATATTGTACTATTTAAATAGCAGTTATGTTTCAAATTATTGTATAATATTTCAGAAAACATTCAGAACTCTCAGAACTTAATGTTAAAGTGATGGAGGCACTTTCATTGTATACCAAGCTAATGAATGAAGATCCAATGTATTCCATGTATGCAAAATTACAGAATCAGCAGTATTATATGCAGTCATCTGGTGTTTCTGCCTCTCAGGTAAGCTTTTAAAAAAAGTATATCATTTTAAATTCTCAAATATTTGAGAATATTTGGAATAGCTGTGTTTTTATAGAATTTTAAAAGAAACTTTTACTTGACAAATATAGTGTATACTATACCATTATACCAGTGGTTTATTTTAAATATATTTTTATTGATTTCAGAGAGTGGAAGGGAGAAGGGGAGAGAGATAGAAATATCAATGATGATATTTCTCTTGCATGCCCCACATCGGGGATTGAGCCTGCAACCTGGGCATGTGCTCTGACCTGGAAATCAAACTGTGACTTACTGGTTCATAGGTTGATGCTCAGCCACTAAGCCATGCCAGCCATGCCCAATAGTTCTTTTTTAAAAAATTATTTTTCTGTAGGAATATCCAGCAGAATCATCCATCAAACTTTTTGAAAAAGTACAGATGCTTTGATTCCATCCAGACTTGTTGAAGCAGAATCTTCAGGAGGGAGGCCCAAATGTGTGCATATTTTTAAAGATTTATATGTAATTATCTGGTTAAGAACTGCAGTTTTTTTGTCTCAGTAAAATTTCTAATTATTACTAAATTCTTCTGACTATGTACGGTGTTCAGTTTTATAGTGAGCTGCTTTAATCTGTTTTTCACTCCCTTCCTTTACATAACACATGTAATGCAATACAGAGCCCTTTCCCTCTTTTTCTTTTTTGGTAATCTTCACCCAAGGATATTTTCCCCATGATTTTTAGAGAGAATATAAAGGAGAGGGGGGAGATAGAGAGAAATATCGACGTCAGAGAGTCACATCAATTGGTTGCTTCCTGCTTGTGCCCTGACCAGGGCTGGGGATCGAACCTGCACCCAGGTAACATGCCCTTAACTGGGAATTGAACCCATGACCCTTTGGTGCACAGGCCGATGCTTTATCCACCGAGCAATATAGGCCAGGGCCCTTTCCCTCTTTTCACCTCAAATAACTATTTGAAGAGCTCTTTTTCCACAAACTCAGTAAGTTCAGGATATAGGGAGTAATTCGCCAGGCACTTCATTTTATCCATGTAGAGTGGTATAAACATTATATAGATTAATTTTTGTTCTTAGAATAGTCAATTTTCTCTGAAATGAGGGGCCACAACCCTGGAGATATGCAACCGTGCCTGAGTAACATGTGGCTAGATGATTCCTACTCACAGGTGTTGATATCAGTTTGAGCCAAAGAAACGCCCAAAAACCTTTCATGTTCAGTTTGAAAAGTACAAAAAAAATGCACTCATGAGGACCAGAATAGCTGTGTTTACAATGAAGACCTTTTGGATTCTGATGCATGGGAAGTGTGTTAGGACTTAAGAGAGGTGCTGAGATGATTGAGCCTTGTCTCCTGATGGTTGTGTTACTATCTTTACAACTGGTAAAAAAGCCTTACTACATAGGTAGTGGCATTCTGTTATCAAACTTATGAAATGGAAGGATTTAAAGAATACTACAGAAAACTAGAATATTATGTGTTTTAAGACTTTTGGAATTTAAGGCTTCAATCTCTTTCGATTCAGACAAGTATAGTTTTTGGATGCAAAAACAATGGCCCAAGGGCTAAATCCAGCCTCCCATCTGTTTAAATAAGCTTTTATTGAAATGCAGCCATTCTCTTTTGTTTATTAATTGTTTCTGGCTACTTTCTATATGGGTCAAATTCAGTAGTTGTGACAGAAACCATATGGCCTACAAAGCCTAAAATATTTACTATCAGAACTTTTACAAAAATGTTTGCTGACTAACCCTACTTTAGAAAGTTAGTTTGTTCTGTATTCAGTAAACTGTAATTTAAAACATATAAATTTTATCTATAAGCAGATGCAGTCTATTGATACAAACAGTCAATTCAAAGACACTTCTTAGACATCCTTTGGAATTCCTTTTAGGGAAGAACTTAAAATATCAACATGGAAAAAGAGACTATATTAGTATAAAGTTTCAAGTTAAGTTCCTTTACTACTTTTGGATAGAGGTAAACATGAATTTAGCCAATGTTTACCTAAGAATTAAAATAATCAGAAGCCAACTTCACTGAAAAATATTTTTTAAATGCCTGTTAACTGAAGTAACTATGAAAAAAGATTTCAGGGATATAATTGTTCTTTTTATTAACTGAATGTCTCTACAAAAGGTTTGGCATGCTTACTAAAATCTTAGAAAATCTAATATGTTATCATGAACTGTTCTAGGTATATCCAGGGCCTCAAAGTGGTACTTACCTGCTTGCAGGGAATGCCCAGATGAGCCATCTCCAGAGCTATAGTCTTCCTCCAGAGCAATTGTCTTCCCTCAGCCAAGGAGCAGTTCAACCCTCTGCAAACCCTGCCCTTCCTGCTCAGCAGACTCAGGCTTCTTACCCTAGGTAATTTGATTATTGACTGTTACTTGGAGTTAATGCTATTAAAATTCTTTTCTTTGTAATATCTTTAAAAAATTTTTTAAATTTTAGAGAGAGGAGAAAAGAGAGAGATGCGAGGTGAGAGAGAGATATCGATCTATTGCCTTCCATAAGTACCAGAGAGAGAAAGGTGAGAGAGAAACATAATCCGTTGCCTCCAGGAAGTACCCGAACCGTGGATTAAACCCAAAACCTGGGTATGTGCCATGACCAGGAATCAGACCCCACCACCTTTCAGGTTTGAGCCACACTGGTCAGGGCAAAATTCTTAAGTTCCCGTGATCATCTGTAACCAGAACTGGATAAGAAACTCCAGAAAAGATGCCATCACTGATACCTGTTTGTGGTGATGAGTGAGTTCTACAGGAACCCCTGCAGTATTGCAGCAATAGCCAGCAAGCCAGTTCTCTCTCTTACTGCCTCACTGAACTGCTGTATTCTGATTCTAACTTTGTCATAATTTGTTTTTATTCGAGTCCGTGGTGGTATTTGCTAAGGATTTTAATGAAACTTAGATTTGATAACTATATATTGTTTTTCACAAATTTCATAAAAATCTAAATACTTTTTTTAAAAAATATATTTTATTGATTTTTTACAGAGAGGAAGGGAGAGAGATATAGAGTTAGAAACATCGATGAGAGAGAAACATCGATCAGCTGCCTCCTGCACATCTCCCACTGGGGATGTGCCCGCAACCCAGGTACATGCCCTTGACCGGAATCGAACCCGGGACCCTTCAGTCCGCAGGCAGATGCTCAATCCACTGAGCCAAACCGGTTTTGGCAAAATCTAAATACTTTTATCATTATTATTTCAGAATTTATGTCAGAAAGACACATATTTCCTTCTTTTTGACCTGTGTTGGAGTTTAGTATATACCACAGCAAAATATATCATTTGAAAAGAGATGGGTTTTTTACCCTGTGGTCCATGGAGCAAATATCTGAATATAAAATGATTGGCTCATTGTTTTGGCCATTTACTTATATTATCCTCTATCACACAGTTAAATGATTATATATTATGTAATTTATAATTACATAAATGTCTTTTTCTGCTTCTGTGTGAATCTAAGCTGAAGCCTTTCCCTCAAAACAAATAAAAGGCAGACTTTAGAGTTCATCAATTTGTAATTCTAGAAGTCATGTTATTCTGACTCACATTAGAAGTATCTTGGTGGCACAGGTGCAATTTCTAGAAAACTTTTCTTCAGTAGTGGGGTTGCCCGTGAATGCTCCTATACTGTCCTTACTGTTGTATTACTCATCCTCAAAAGAGTCATACTCTGGGGATGCTTAGGGATTCACAAGCATTATTTGCTGGTCACCTCTAGTAATCTCGGAGTGAGGAAGCTATTAGAGCATCAAAAAACAGGATACTCTCTACTGAAAGTAGCTCAGAAAAAAAATGTTAGGTAGAACTCTTTCTGCCCCAGGACTTTTTTTTTTAAGCTGAAATTTGGTGAAATGAATACCCTTACATGGAAAAGAAGCAAACAGGTGGGGAGCAGCTATTGTTAGCATACTGTCTTAAAAACCAGATACAAAGTGAGTAGAGGTAGGTATTGTTGAGAAATCAGCCAGTGTGCATGAGTTATGTAGGAATCTCTTAGGTATTTTAGTGTCATCCAGAAATGCTGCCTCTTTCCCAGCTGGTCCTCTGTTACTGTGTCGCATGCTGCTGTAGCTGCCTTGTTCCTTGTTCCTTGAGACCCATTCTTAGTTCAGGGCCTTGAGAAATTTCCTTGTAAATGATAGCTGTAACACCTTGTTGCTGTTTTCTGGGCATTGTTCTGTCTGCTTCCATAGCTTGGATGTGAAATATCTGATGCAGGGCATGCACTGTAGTCCAGGGGCTAACTCTACTGATCCTGTGTGGCTATTAACGTCACCTCTCAAGAAACACATGTGCACTTCAGCAGGTGCTTTTTCCTTGACGTCTTTAGCCCTCTTTGTCTGGCTAATTCCTATTTATTGGTTCCTAGCTTTCTCTTTACTAGAACACCTTCCCACACTCCAAACACTGTTCCTGCTCTCTTGCTGTCACAGGACCCCAGCCTACTGTGTACTGTCTTGTAATCACCTTTAGACTAGTCTGTATCCCCACTAAGCTATCATATCTTGAGAGGTGGGATCAGATTAACCTTTATATCTATTGTATAACAGAGTTTTATACTTGATAAGAGCTCAGTAAATACTTGATAAATAAATGTTTAAGATAGGAATTTGAAGTGCTGTGTTGGGCCAATGAGATATATTTTTAAATTATTTACAGAGGCTTCACAAAGGCTTTGAGGCAGTTTTTAAAAACATATAAATGTATAACATAATATATAAGAACAGGGTGGGGCAAAAATAGATTAACAATTGTGAGTATACAAAACACAGATTTTATTCTTATATTATTATTTATTAATTATTGTATTATTTTCCATACCAACAGCTGTATTTGACTCAAGTTTTCTAATTGCAGATCAAGGTCAATGAGGAATTTTTTCCCCATTATGGTGGGCAGTTGTTTTTTTTTTAGTGGCCCTAGTTTGTATCTAGGAGGCAATTTCTTATTCTTTTACATATAATTTTGGTTCTAGGGTTCTTACTTTTCCAGACTATGTAATAACCTTATTATGATCTTACTGGTAATTAGGGAAGGTAGAATGGATGCAGTTTCCTAAACTCACCTAGAATGGTGATGATGGTAGTACTCAGGTGACCAAAGCTATGTACTTTCTTGTCTATTATTTCAGACTACTCTGTTAAACAGGTGTTTATTGAACATTTAGTCTGTGCCAGACACTATGCTAGACATTTGACATACAAGTGTGTGTTTCTTCCTCTCCCCACAGACACAACTGACATAAAACATTATGAAAATTTAAGATGTACAACCTGTTGTTTTGATACATTTCTATATTGTAAAATGATTATCACCATAGCATTAGCTAACACTTTCATCCTGTCATGTTGTTACTATTTCTTTTTTTTTTGTAGTGAGAACATTTAAGGTTTATTCTGAGCAACATTCAAGTATGTGATAATAGTATTATTAGGGAAAATCGCTATGCTGTACATTGGATTCCTAAACTTTTTCATCTTATAAATGGAAGTTTGTACCCTTTTTCTAGTATCTCCCCATTTTCCCCACTCTCTAACCAACATTCTACTATTCGTCCTTTTTAGATTCCACATGTGAGGTAATATAGTATTTCTTTCTCTATTTTACTTAGCGTAATGCCCTCAAGTCTCATTCAAGTTGTACAAATGGCAGAATTTTCTTTTTTCTTGTGGCTGAATAATATTCCAGAGAGGGGGAGGGGAGGGAGGGAGGGAAGGGAAGGACGGAAGGAGGGAGGGTAGAGAGAGAGAGGGAGAGAGATAGAGAGAGAACGAACACGTACACATACACTGCATCTTCTTTACCCATTCATCTGTTGATGGATGCTCATATTGGATGCTCATGAGGTTGTTTCCATATTTTGGCTGTTTTGAGTAATGTTGGAGTGAACATGGGGGTGCAGATTTCCTAAAGATCCTGATTTCAGTTCTTTGGGATATATACTCATAAATGGACTGCTGAGTCATATGGAACTTTCATTTTTTAAAAATATGTTTTTATTGATTTTAGAGAGATAGAAACATTGATAAGAGAGAAACATGGTTCGGCTGCCTCCTGTAACGCGCCTTACTGGGGATCAAGCCTGCAACCCCAGGCATGTACCTGACCAGGAATCAAACTGGTGATCTCTTCTTTCAAAGGTTGATGCTCAATCATTAAGCCACATAGGCTGGGCTAGTTTTTAGTTTTTTGAGGAACCTCCATACTGTTTTCCAAGTGGCTGCACCAATTTACATTTCCACCAGTACTGCATAAGGGTTCCCTTTCTCTGCGTCCTTGCCAATACTTACCTTTTGTCTTTGATGAGAGCCATTCTAACAGGTGTGAGGTAATATCTCATTTTGGTTTTGATTTGCATTTCCCCTATAATTAGTGATATTGAGCACATTTTCTTTTCTTTTTTTAATTTAAATTCTTTATTGTTTAAATTATTACGTGAGTCTCCTTTTTCCACCATTGACCTCTCTTGGGCCACCTTCATCCCCCAGCACATTCCCTCACCCCACTACTGTCTGTGTCCATTGGTTATGCTCATATGCGTGCATACAAGTCCTTTGGTTGCTCTCTTACTCCTCCTCCTCCCCCCCTGCCTTCCCTCATAGGTTGGACAGTCTGTTCAATGCTTCTGTGTCTCTGATTCTGTTTTTGTTCATCACTTTATGTTCTTTATATTCCACAAATGAGTGAGATCATGTGATACTTATCCCCCTGCGACTGGCTTATTTTGTTGAGCACCTTTTTTTGTACCTATTGGCCTTTTGTATGTCCTCTTTGGAAAACTGTATTCATTTCCTCTGCCTATTTTTTATCTAGTAGTTAGTTTCTTTACTATTGAGTTGTATGAGTTCTTTATATATTCTTGGTATTAACCCCTAATTAGATATATGACTTACAGATATTTTCTTTTATTCATTGGTTGTGTTTTAATATATTATTGATTGTTTCTTCTGCTGTTCAAAAACTTTTTAGTTTGATGTAATCCCAGTTGTTGACTTTTGCTTTCATTTCCTGTGCCTTTGATGTCACATCCAGGAAAATTGCTGCTGAGATGATTGTCAAGGAGCCTTTTCCCTATGTTTTCGGGTAGGGATTTTATGGTTTCCAGTCTTAAATTAAGACTATGGAATGGGAAGTTGTGAAAAGACATATTACCAAAGGATTAAAGTCTATGGTGGAAGATGTGAGAGACGTACTTGCAGTTATTGTCAAAGATAATGACTGGTCCTACATATCATGTTAAGGAGCTTGTGTCTTGGAAAAGCCTCCAAGGGGATTTAAATGGCAATAAGATTGGCGAATTCATAGTTGCTGCGTTAGAAGCTAGGAGACTTTGTATATTAGACAAGAAATCATGAGTTCTAACTGTAAGACATAATGATAGAGATGAAAAAAATAATTATGGAGATTAGCAAATGATTGCATGTAGATGACAGGCTGGGGCGATAGTGCAGAGCAGATATAAGGGAGAGTAGTGGTGAATTGCTGGGTTTTGCCCTTGGGCAACTGGGTGAATGGTGGGACTGTAAGTTGAGATAAGGAATATAGTACAAACCATGAATAATTACAGTCATGGCGAACATTTATTGGGATGTCCCATGTTATTAAATGGGAAAACTGAGTATGGAGGGAGGACTACGGTACCACTTTGCTAAGATACAAAATCAGGCATTTTGGCTCCAGAGCTTAGCACTTTGTCACATTATATTGTAGCTGTATTGTTGTCCTTATCGATGTAAATAAGAACATAAAATCTGACTTCTTGTAATACTTTTTATCTCACAAAGTAACACATATAGAATGATAATGAGTGATGCCTTTCAGCATTACAGTAAAACCTCGATATAATGGACTAATACAGGCGAGGAGGTGCCCATTAAAGCCCAAGTCCATTATATAATGAAGTAGGTTTTCCAAATGTATATGTAAAAAAATTGGCAAATTAGTTTACCTGTTTTTACTTATGTAGACATGTTTGTGTAATTAAAATTTACTATGTATGAAAAGTTTAATTTCACACAAAAGCTTTCTGTATGTATTACTGTAATTTTAAATTTATACTGAATACATCTAGTAAAAGCTTGCGTTCACCAGTCACCACGAATAAACAGATGCACACGGCTGGGGCGCGGCTTAGCTCACATCGGAAGTGCTGCAGAAAGTCAGGCCAGATGACAGCAGAACCAGTTACTGCGCAGTGTGATCATGTGCTGATCAGTCCCGAACATGTTTGCCAGTGCTAACTCTTGGATTTAAATATGTAGACTGTAATTATGTAATATTTATTTATGTCGGTGAAATTACTACAGTGTTTCTGAACATAGGACCTACTAACTAAAATTTGTTAAAAATAACAGTGAATTAACAACATAAGTTGTTAACTCTAAGTTGTTAATTTAATTATAAGCAAATCTTGGTTTACAATTTTAATATTAACAGGGTGTTAATTTTCACATATGACATACATACAGACCAGAAACTTTTTCCATTAAGTCCAAAGTTCATTAAATCGAGATCCTCAAAATTGAGGGTTTATTGTACTTAAGGGACTACATTAGTGGGGGGAATGTAGCACTAAAAGACTGTCAACTTTAATAGCGAATTGTTTAATCTGTGCAGAATGCAAGGGCATTGAGTTTACCAGCAATTGATTTATAAACAATCTAGCAATTCAAGAGTTTAGAAATAGGCAGTATTTTGAAAATTGCCCAATTTATAATTTATTTTTACATTTTTAACAGAAATGTGTGTGTATGTTGGGAGAGGGAGGGAATCTCAGTGTTAAAGCTGTTAGTATTTCTCTGTATATAGCTATGCTAGTGTCCTATATATGGGAAAACTCAAATATCAGACTGGAAATGGGAAGAGAGAAAGCAGAGACAGTGAATAAAGACAGCCCTGAAGGAATGTTTTTGGTGGAATGAGAGCAGTGCCCAAGTGGAGGGCACCTTGCAAGGGAGACTGACAGCCGATGAGTTTTAGCAGGAGAGAGGGCACAGCAGATGAATGGGTGTAGGAACAGATAGCTGATGAATGTGATGGTGGGAGTAGATGGAAGGTCTCTTTTATTTGCTTTTCATTTTCAGGGCAGTAAGATAAGCAAGGTTATGAAGCTTTCATCTTTCCTAGTCCACCTCTTGTCAAGGACTGATGATTTCCATATTGCCAGATCCAGTGGTCACTTCCTTTTTGAAACACTTTCTTCACTTGACTTTGACCATTCTCTCTTAGTTTTTCTTCCAACTTATGTCTCCTCAGTCTTCTTTGCCTAGTGTTTCTCTGTCTTTTTGACTTCTAGAGTAGGACTCAAAATGTGGACTGCTTTTTTCTCTGTAGTCATTCCCTAGGGGGTCTTATTCAGGCCCACAACTCTGAACACCAGGTGTATGATGATGACCCCCAAATATGTATTTCTATTCCTAACTTTTCACTGGTCTCTAGACTTGAGTAGCTGACCATGGAATATCTTCCGAGATATCTCACTTTACATGTCCAAAACATATTTTGATTCTCCTTCCCCAAATTTATTGTAGTCCTTATCTGCCATCTGTCTTTTTAGTGAATGGCCACTCTACCAGTTATTTCTTCCAATCATTCAGTTCTAAAACCTCAGGCATTCTTGGCCACTCTACCAATTAGCATGGATAGTAATGCCTTCAAAATCATACCTTTCTTCTTTTCACCAAATCTATCATGGCACTAGCCACCTGTCAGCTCTTACCTGGATAATTGTAAAAGCCTTCAGTCAGATATCCTTGCATATCCTTGGCCCACAGTGAGTCTGTTAAAACCTAAGTCAAATCACATCATTCTTCTGTCCAGAATCAGTGTCTTTCCATCTCACTCAAATATAATCCAGAATCCTTAGTATGGCCTCCAAGGCACTGTTTATCTAAGGCTCCTCTCCCCTTTAATTCTGCCACTTTATTGTCTTATGCAACTTATCTCCTTTCTCACTCTGCTTCTGCCAGCATGGCCTCCTTTCTGGTCCTTGAACATGCCTGGCATTTTGTTTTCTCAAAGGATTCTGTGCTTGCCATTCTTTTTGCTTGATCAGCTTATATTCCTATATAATTCGCTATTAAAGTTGACAGTCTTTTAGTGGCTCCCTCTCTCACTTCTTTCAGGTCTCTGCTTAAATTTTTCCCTTATCTGAAATGCCTTCCCCTACCACACTGTAAAAGCCAGAATCTCTTCTCTCAGGGACTCTTGGTCCTCCTAATATGCATTATTTTTCTTCATACCAGTTATTACCACTTGACATATTATAAATTAGTTTATCATTTTTTTCTTCTACTAGAATTAGAATGTAACTTCATGATGGTGGGAATTTCCCCCCCCCCTTTTTTTTTTTTTACTATATCCCAGTGCCTAAAATAGCACATTTGACACATAATATTTGACACATTACGGGTATTTAATAAATATTTACTGAATGGGTATTTAATGAATAGCTTCCTGTTTATCTCTAAATGGGTAAGTTAGTCAATATTGATTTGAGTGTTTTTTCCCTTCCACAGCTCAATGGTCAGTTCTGTTCAAGGAAATACATATCCCAGCCAGGCGTCAGTGTATAGTCCTCCTCCTGCTGCTGCTACTGCTGATGTCACTATATACCAGAATGCAGGAACTAGTATGTCCCATGTGCCAAACTATAGTTTAACGTCATCAGCACTGCCTCAACCAGGAGGCAGTCAACAGCCACCTCAGCCACAGCAACCATATTCTCAGAAGGCTCTGCTATAGGATTTGGGATTCCTCTTTGATCTGCTAAATGCCGCTGACAATGTTAGAGATTCTTTTGATATCTTAAGGTTTGTTTATCCTCAGCTTATAGGAATCTGTCGTGGTCAACAAGTTCAAATATTCAAGATTATGTTGTCAAGAAGGTAGAACTCTCTTCAGTTTGCATTGACTTTTCAGAGGTTCTCCCACTCCACCCCACCCCTCCCAGAGGAATGAAACTACTTACAACATTTAATTCTTTTCATCATATGAAAGAATTGATATAAGATTATTTGTCTCATAAAATTACCTGGTCTGCAAGAAGTCAAACTTAACAAAAATTGTTGTGGCAAATATTATGTACATATATTGCTGTGTAACTTCATTAGTGGCCATTTTTGAATCACAATGGTGATCATGTGAATATATTTAA